CACTGGCCCTTACATTAGGCCACTTGCCATGGACTATCTGCTCCTTCCTGGCCTGGCTGCGACTCTGCCACGAGGGGCCGGCAGCCAGGGATTGGTGCCAAGACCCACCAAAACTGCCGCAAACACAGACTGATTGATTGAAAACTTTTCTAGAGCATCCCTTACCGAACTCTCAGGACGGTTTAACAATACAACAGTATAAAATAAAACACAGCATCCTAAAAACTCCAACTGACAATAAAACCCCAATTAAAATAATCAGATCTTAAAACATTGGGAAAGTAAAAAGGGTTTAGCCTGGTGAAAGTGATGGCGCCAGGCGAACCTCTCTGGGGAGCAAATTCCACAATTAGGGTGCCACCACACAGAAAGCCCTTCTCTGGGTAGCCTCCCTCCTAATCTCCTTCAGGGAGGGCACCTGGAGAAGGGCGTCTGCCCCAGATCTTAAGAGGCAGGCAGGAGACGTTCCTTCAGGTAATCAGGCCCTAAGCATTTTCTTGAAAAGGCACCCTTTGTAGCTCTCCTAGTCCTAACAGACCATCGGGAGGAGAGCGGTCTCACGGGATTTTGCATGCTCCACAGAATAAGCAGAATAACAATATTGTTACACCCCTCACACCAGCACAGAAAAGGCAAACCTCGAAGTGGGACTGCTGCTTGTCTCCCCTTGCACGCGAAACGCAATGGGCATCAGCTGCGTGCCTGTATCCCCCCAGGGAAGCCATACAAAGAGTGACACACTGGGCAGGGTCCACAGCCTCGTGTCTTCTCGCTCACCCTCTTTCTTGCACACACACCGACAATGCCTCACACCCATCTCTCCCCCAAGCCCACGAGTCTCCGCAGGAAAATTTCCTCCGGTTGTTTCCCCCAGTAAAGAAGACTGCAGAAAAAGCCGAGATGGAGGCACTGGAACGTCTGCTCCTTCCTAAGCAGGGTTGTGGGGTGGGCTGACCCCCCGTCGGGGCTGTATTCAAGGCAGGGGCCACCCAGGAGGCACTTTCCAAAGTGTGGGGTTCTATTTAAGAAGGGCAAGGGGAAGTCAAGAATCACCAGACCCTTATTGGCTAGAGAAACGGGACTTGGCTTAGATTTAAATATGTTTTTGAGTTATTATAAATGGATTTGAATATGACTATAGAATGTTAAAAAAATATGAGTAGGAGGCTGACCCAGTACGTCTGATGTATTTGATGATTGATGTCTTTAGCGTTAGTTTAAAAATCTTAATAAAAATTTATTAAAAAAAAAAAAGAATCGCCAGACCCAGAGCAAGGTAACTTGTGGGAACCAGTGTCAGCACCAGAGCCTAGTATTTTTTAAAGATAAGGTTCCACCTTCTTACATTTATTTTTCCTTATCGACAATAGGTAAGGAATCAATCCTCAGCTCACATCTGCCTAACAACCCCCCAGCACCGAGCCTTAGATGAGAAACGGGGGCTGCAGCAAGAGGGTTGCAGCAAGAGCGGAACCAAGACTGAGAGAGAAGGGTCTGCGTTGGCGGGGGAAACTCAGGCAATGGAGGGGGGCAAGGGCTGAATTCAGTTTCAGAGAGGCTCTCCAAGGCTGCCTTCCAGAGAAGGACAAGGCTGAAGACGAATGGGGCATGGCTAAAAATCCCGGGATATTGTAATGCAAACCCCTGGCTGCCAGTAGCCAAATCGTAGGAAACCTTTTAGAAGTGCAAGGGGGAGCGGTCAGCACAGAACCCGGGAAACCACCGAATGACCAACAGTTGGGAGGAAAGGGCCCCAGGAAGGCTAAGTCTGGCCCCTGCCCCGGAGGTTTCTCACTCCTGCACTTCTGTTAACCATGTTTGTTTATGTTTATAGTCAGTGCAAATCCTGTGTATACAGTGATACCTCGGCTCACGGGTCGCGACCAAAACTTTCATGAAAATTTTGACATGGGTTGCAAACTGTGCATTGGGTGGCGACCAAGACTGCAGCCATCTCCCCACCCGCCCAAGTGGGGAGACGGCCGCGATCGCAGTCGCGTCTGTGCAGGGAAGACGTGTGTGATCACGGGCACGCTCCTGCAGGAAAGACGGGCACGATCGCGGCCGTCTCCCCACCCCATCCCCGAGTGGGGAGATGGCCGCGATCATGCCTGTCTCTTCCTCCCCCAGCACGGCCCGTTTGCGCCCGTCTCTCCCCCCGCCCCAGTGCGCCCATGATCGCACCCATCTCTCCCCCCCTCAGCGGGCCAGGATGACAGGTGCGATCTCGGTCACGCTGAGGGGGTGGGAGAGGGCCGTGCTTGTGCTTGGGGGGCGGGGGGAGATGGCCACGATCTTTGTTGTTCTTTGTCACTTTGCTTCACATTTTTCTGATTAAAAAATGGTTACAGAACGGATTAACCTTATTTACATTGAACCTTATGAGGAACTTTAACTTGGCTCACGACCAATTTGAGTCACAACCAGAGTCCTGGAACGGATTAAGTTCGTGAGCCAAGGTACCACTGTATTAACCATGGTTTGTTCCTTTTGCCATGAATTACCTTGAAGACAACTGTGGCTTGTTCCCCCTATCTCTGGTTCGCCTCTTTACAGCCCATTTTGCCAGACTACAGAGTGGTTTCCATTTCTGGCTGCCCTTGCTAGGCACCTCTTCTTTCAGTCAACAATACAAACAACCCAGGGATAAGCCATGATTCTGGATTCAGACTTCCCAACTAGCCATGATTTCACCCAGTCAGTCTTTGTGAGCTGACAACCAATAATGAGCCCTATTTGTGATTTAAGGCTGATTGACAAACTGTGGCTTGTTTGCAGGGACAGGGTCAGACACAATGACAAGATAGTGCTTAAGCTAAGGGATCACCAAATATTTCTATATATTGGACTTTTCCAAGTCTTTCCCTTCATGGCCATTTCTGAAGTAATTCAGAAAAATGGCATCTATAGCTCCGCACAGAAAAGCTAAGTGAAATGCTTTGTGCGATACTTAAGTACTTTTTTGCTGGACCCGCTTCCTTCTTTCCACTCAGCAGTTCTACTGACAGAACATTCCCCCATTTGGGCAATGCTAGAACTCGGTGGGAGCCGGCGATCAGACTAGATGGCCCAGGAGAGCCCTTCTGGCTCGCTCTGTTTCTATGTTTCTGTGGCCAGAAACTGGCAAGAGTGCGCACCAAACAGCTAATGAGCAGAACAGGGTTGCACAAAGCATTTCCACCTGTAAATGATCTGCAACGCACATGACGAAGGCACATAACTTCTAAGGAAGAAGAGGCCTGGTTTCTCCTGAAACTTAGTTCTAGCCCCATAGAGAGGCAGAGCCATATAACTGAGCACATAAAGCTCCAAGCAGAATGCAGGGCATGAACGAATGTGCCAAGAAACACACACTTGCCCTGTCACAGGAGTGCGGCACCGCAGGCTGGGGGCTAAGCCCAGTCCTCTTGAGATCCCAGTCCAACCCACAGTGACACTCGGCAACTGTAATTCTTTAGCCAAAGCAAGGGGTCTCCAAGAGAGAGCATTCTCCCCAACATCATCATCAACAGCCCCGTCCTCACTAAATTAGAATCCCCAGAATCCTGCAGGAGTCTCACCCTCCACCCTGCAAATGTGGGGTTAGCCATACCAATCTACCTTGGCGGGGTTGTTGGAAGGGTAACACACAGATTGCAAGATTCTTCATACACAGCATGCCGAGAAACAAAACAGAAAGAAAGTCGGTCATTCAGTTCATTCCCACATTTTTGGAAACAGTCATCAAGCTTCCTTTGGCTTCCATCTGGAGAAGTCACGTTGCAGCCACAGCAACAGCTGCCGCTTCCAACGAGCAGAGCTCCGTCCACATCTCTGAACTAACTGGCGTGAGTCCCACCGTTCTCCAATATGTTCATCCAATGTTTCGTTTCATTCCGCACAAATCACTCGAGCAAGGTGGAGAAGTGGCCCACCAAATCTTTCCTGGTGAAAATTGCTCTGCTGAAGATTCTGACCTAATGGCAGAGCCGCGATCACAGCATTCCAAGATGTGGCTTAATTAAAGCTATGATTCAGGCCGGAGCTACACTGCGGAATTAGTCATTTTGCTTACAGTACCCTTTTCTGTTCAGCATGCCTGTTGTGTCATGAAAACTAACACAAGTCGGCTACCAAACAGAGCACTGAGGGGTGCCAGATGTACAAGAGGCAAGAGATACGTTTTGTGAGAATTCACGGGATCCCTCTTTTGAATCACAGGGAATGTGGACTTCCAGTGAAACCGCACAAACACAAAAGGTAAGCAGAGAGGACTGTCTTTTCCTGAGTGAGACTGCTGCTTTGTCCAGCTTCGTGTCGTCTACTCCAGCTGCAAACAGCTGGCCAAGATCTCAGGATCAAAATTAGCCCGGTCCCTTCCCTGCTAAGCAAGACCGTCCGGCCAAGCGGTTTGAGCCATTCTTACCATCTCTTTTCAGTCAGGCTCACAGGACAGATTCACACAACCACTTTCAGACACGGTGGCCTAAACACATTGTGTGGTTTGCACCATCATCAGGTACCGTTTTGTAACTTGGCCCCCACCCGCAGGTCCTTGGTGTCACCTGACCCTGTCCAAGATCGATTGTTCGTGCGGGTCACCAACTGCTTAGAGGACATGGGCTCTTTCAGGGTTGTGGGTCATTTTTTAACCACCCCAACAACCCACCCTTGCTACAACACGGCAACGTGCAAGTGGGGTCCGGTTATGGAATGGGGGGGGGGGCAACATGCCACAACGCACGGTGGCTTCTTTAAGCTACCTTGGCAGAAAAAGTTCATGCAATCAGGCCAATGGGGAAACTATTTGAACTAATCCCAAACCCAGTGCAATATTTAACTGCAACGCTAAAATCCAAATTGCAATCGACTTCCGCCTCCAGCTAGCACAATTCTTATCTCAGCGGTAGCCTGAAGAGCAGGCTTTGCCTTTCCAGCCACGCCATCTTTGCTCTCGGGCTCACTTCTATTTCAACGGCAAGAGCACAGCAACAGGCTGTGAGGTTTTTCCATTCACATATCCAAGAATTAAAGTAGAGCTAATCTAATATGCTCGCTAAGCTTCTGCTATTGTGGTTTGGCACAACCTCCAGACTTTTGAAAAGATTTAACCCTCCTGATTCTCCCTTTCAACTTCCTTTTTACAAGTTCTCTCCTTTTCAAAAACTATCCTCTTCTGAAATTAAATGTGACTGTGTTCTATTCCTTGGCAATTTTCCACTGTTACATGTTAATTCCAGAAGCACCATGTTTCCAACCAGTTCCACAACTTTTACATCTGGTCCTAGGGCCTCAGCAACGCCATTTAGGATTAAAGCCGAATTAAACCACTTCCCTGACCAGCTGTTCTAGGGCACAGCCATTTGGGGCCCTGAGAAATTTAACCTCCATCTCATGACTGGAACAAACATTTGTCTGATCAACTGAAGCCCTCCATTATCTTAAAGCTTCTGCCATTGGAGGCCATTTGGATTTAGACCTCTGCGAATGATGATCTCTCACCGTATGCTCCCGGCCTGTTTCCTCCTTTCTACATTTGGGAAATTGGAAACATCTTCATGGCCATTCCCAGTGATGAGTCAACCTGAACCAAACGCTTCTCCCAGTTCCTGTCAGCTTTGCCCCATGGTTCCATTCGAACGTTGCTCAGCCATCGTTTTTCTGTTTAGCGCACCCACCGTCTGGTTGCACTTTGGTTCAGGGCAGCTCATCCCTGTTGTAGGCCCAGCTTATCTCAAAATGTATGGCCCAGCTTATCTAGCAAACCAGAACCACCATCTCATGCACCCATTGAAAATCTGTCTAGCTCTCCCCTTCTTGCTCTGTGCAAGAAACAGGGGGCATTTCAAAGAAACCACCTGGGTAGTCCCTTATTTCAATCTTCTACCTAGAAACTTTCTACCTTGCAATCTAATCTGGCTTCCAAGACCTCGTGACTAGGAATGTGTGAGAATCGCTGACAGGGGGGATGAAAATTTAACAGATTTGCTTAACTGAGGCCTGTGGATCCCTTTCTGTCAACCCTTTGCTGGTGCCAACTTGACATGACATGACTCAAGCCAACATGCAAATTTCCATTTTTAAAGCGGGCAACCAATTGTTTTGCTTTTGGTACAAAATCCAGACCTTGCATAAATTCATGCAATGCATATACACTTGAGCAACTTGCATACATTTGTGCAAATGGCATAAATACACCCGAACTATAGAGTGGCAGCCCAAATTTTGCATGAATTTGAAATGAACAGTCAGAGAATTCCAGGTGGCCAAGGTGGAGCATACATACGCAATGAGGTTGTTCACATACTGCCAGGACCCGGGCTGCTCTGAGGCTCCAGCTACTTTCTAGAACTGGAATGCCCACCTCAGTATTGGCAGATTCAGTCCCAGACCAAGCATTTACTTGTGGGGTTGCCATAAGTCGGAGATGACTTGATGGCACATAGAACCATAGAATCATAGAATTGGAAGGGGCCAAGAGGGCCATCAAGTCCGACCCCCCGCTGGTGCAGAACTCCAGATAAACCATCCCACTCACTGGGCTGTCCAGCTGCAACCTGAATGCCTCCAATGTGGAAGAGCCCACAACCTCCCTAGGGCATCGGTTCCATTGCTGTACTGCTCTAACGATCAGGAGATTTTTCCTGATATCTGGCTGGAATCTGGCTTCCTGGAACTTGAGCCCTTATTCCACGTCCTGCACTCTGGGATGAAGCGATCCCGGCCTTCCTCTTTGCAACAGCTTTTCAAGTAGCAACAGCAGCAACTGCGAAGGACGCAAAACTATTTCAGTCTCGCAGGCCACTGCAATCATGTGTTGGACATGGCAGTGAAAGAGTGTCTTGAATAAGAGAGATGCCAGTCCATTTTTAAATGTGATCCACGGGCCTCCTTTGCACAAAACACTAGCCATGGTGTGAACTGCTGCACTTTGCCTTGCCGTTGTGCCCCATCTCAAACCATGGTTGGAACAACCATCAGCAAACCAGAAACAGAACCCATGGTTTGTTGTTTTAAACCGTGGCTTGCCCTGATACTTGAACTGTGGCGGGTTTCTACTGCTATCCACTGTGAAACAGAGGGGCCGGCAAGAGCAGCCTGAAAACAACACTGCTCTGAAAGCTGCCAAAATGGGAAGGGCAGAAACTGGCTTGTCTACCCGCAAGACCACTGCCGGCTGGACTAACAACCTCGCCTTGCGTATGAAGGTGCATACATCCTGCAAGAGCTCAAGGAAGTCCGGTGAGGAAGGTCTCAGCTGAGAGGGACCAGTGAGGATCTGAACTTCTGTCCTCGGGCCTAATCCAACCCCTGGATCGTTTGGCCTTGAGATGCCGGGTTCTGCTGTCGGTGCTGCCAGGCCACGCTGCCTTCACATGGGCTCACACCTTCTGCCCCACCACCACGGCCTCCTCTTGGCTCCTCGCACTGCCTGCTGCCTTTCCACTCCTGTTAAAAGCGCAGGAGAATTGGTAGGTCCTTGCCAATTCCACAGCAGAGTGGAAATTATTCCAGAGGTGACAGTGGGGAGCGTTTGTGGTTTTGTTGTTGTGGGGTTGTCAGCAAATGGGCAGGCTGGCTGATACACAGGGAGAGGGAGAGGGAGAGAAGTTGAGTAGCACAGAAAATTTCTCCCCTGCACTGAAAAATGGTGCTCTTCTTTTTTGTTCTTTTTTTTTTGGAGGGGGGGAGGGAGACAGAAAGGGAGTGGGAACATTGCTTTCACAAGTTTATTTAGTCTTAATGCATCATCCTCCACCCTGCTCCCCAAAACATAATAGAAGCTTTTAACGATAAATTGGCACAAAACAAGAGCAATACCTGAGTGCTTTCTGTTGCCATAGAAGCGTTTCTGGCAGATCAGAGAAGGACCCTTTTGCTAACAGTAAAGTACCGGAAGAAAATAGACACTTTTCATTTAGTAACTGCAGATGATTAAGAAGCAAAGAACCTTTATGTACTTATTCTAGCACAGACGTTGCTGTGTGCGCGCGTGTTTCCTTCTAATTTATTTATTTCAGGGGGGAAATAACAGGAACACTACTGTCTGAAGAGACGGATTCTCAGGGACAAAACACAAATCCTTGGTCGTTGATGAAGAGTGAGTCACGGCATGATGGAGGGGAGACAAATTCAACATTTGTGCAGCGGTGGGGAAGTGTGGAAGTGTCTTTGCCATGTTTCGCCCAAACCTATCTTTCCCTCTGCCAGGGCAAGCTCTGACAATTTAATAAAATACACTCCACAGCAATTCTGAATGTCTCGGTTCGATGAGAGGAGAGCCCATCTCACATCCCTGGGGCGGTTTGGCAATGGTGTTTAAACCTGTTTCTATGTGTATGCAGGTTCATATGTGTGCAGCACATGGAAACATGAGGAGAGCAACTTTATCTGAAGGTGCACCTTGACCTCGAGCGCCCTGCCTGCACTCCAAGATACCGATGGAGGCCTTTCTCCCATGCCCACCTTTGAGAGCAGCTAAGTGGACAAGGACAGGAGAGGCCTTCACTGCAGTGGCCCCCAACTCTGGAAAGAATGGCCAATCAGGGACTTTCAGGCCCCACACAGAAGGCTTCCAAGAAGGCCCTGAAACATTGCTTTTCCAGATGATGCTTTATTGGACTGCTCCGGGACGTATTAGATGTTTTACTACTTTCTAGGCTGGGTGATGCTCCACCAGGGTTCTCACTGAGAGTCAGGGCATCATTGCAGAAGTGTGTTAACCACAAACGAGGTTGACACCAGCAGACAAGCTGGTGTGCTATTGGAGGGGAGCTCTCAAGAGAGGCATGGCAGGTTTTGCTCACAGTACTTCTGAGGAAATAACGAAGGAAGACAAATATTTGCGTTGTTTATAAATGGGTATAGATTCAAGCTGGAAGCTGGTTCCCAGTCACGTCTACACACTGTCCCATGGAACACAAAATCAGGCCCTTTCTTTCACCAACAGACATTTCACCACCAACATGTCAAACACCAAGTTTTGCCTTGTCCACTTTGTATCTTCTACTGGAGATCAGGAAGATTTTGTTTCCTTCTTCAGCCAGAAAGCAAGTCCATCTTGATAGGCGATGTAATTATCATTGCGCATTTTGCGGTGCATCCAAGGAGATTAGTCATTCCAGATACATCATCTCACAGTGAAATGGTACCCTGAGATGTCTGGTCCCATGAAACAAAATCAACTCTAACTTCACCGTCATGGAAAGATCACCATGAACTTGGCGATGCTTCCCCGGTTGAAGGCTCAAGAAACTGAAATTATTCATCAGCTCATTTGCATGGGCATCAACATGGTTCGGGGTACTTCCACAACAGATAGAATGTTGTCGTCTGCACTTGTGAGTCCAAGACATTGAAACATGAATCATTGTGTTGAATTGTCGAAACATGTTATGAGTAATATTTAGGACTAGAGAGGAGAAGAGAAACAAAGCTGGCTCACCAACTGAAGGAGCAGTTGAAAGGGACATCTGGAGTAATTTGATTTCAACACATGGAGGAAGGGGAAATTAAGAAGCGGACAAGTGGATAATATTTCAGATTGGGAATGCTTTGAATTTAGCATGTAAGATTTGCAAAGCTGTATTTCTGTAAATATGGGGGAAAGAACTGCATTTCTTAATATGTACCAATTCTCCTTTCCTTTACACCCAGCTTTCTGAATCAACTAATACTCTGACTTAATGACACAAAGCACAAACACCATCCCTCTTCTACCAAATCCAATGGATGCAAACCAACGCAATCAAGACACAAGATGTGAACAGGTCAAAACTGAAATCCTCGGAGCCCAAATCAGCAGTCCAAAAATGCTGCTTTCTTTCATCCTATGTGAAAATATATTTGCAAGCACAGAGTTGAATAAGCTGTACCAGGCACATAATGCCAAGAAGAATCAAGATTGAACAGCAAGATTTTTTTAATTGGTTGAACTTGCACAATGATCATGAAAAGAAAGGAGACATAAGCACCAAGCCGCCTCTGAAAAATGGCCATCACCTGCTCCAGAGCATCCAGTATCATATGCCCCATCATCCTGGTGTCATTATACAGGATTACCCTGCCCCTGCCAATCAGCAGCATGGGACAGGAGGAGAGAAATGCGCCACGTAACAGTAACATCAATGAATGGAATGAAACTTAACTTGGTGGCAGTTGCCCCATGTTCCCCGCAGGCTGGTACAAAACAAACAGAGCTGCCATCAAAGAGGACAATGTCAACTTACCCTCGCCGTTGTGTGGAAGGTTCTTCATCTGCTTGGAATGGTGCTCCTCCTCCTCCTCTAGGATGGTGGGGAGGGTTTCCATGGGCTGATGGCCCTTGTAGCTTTGGCAGACCCCAGGTGCTGTTGAAGGGTCATCATCAAGATACTCCTTCAAGAGAAGGGGGCTGCCCCTTTTTCCCTCAAGACAACCCGGACCCAGGTCTGAAGTGCAGGAAGGTTCTGGCAAAGCCAGGTCATGATGGGATGATGAAAAGTGATTGGATTCCCCACTCGCCTGGCTGGCGCTGCTGTCGTCATCTGAAGCTTCAGAGTAACGTTCGTAAGGCCCATCGCTATCTTCTAAGCCTTCATCCTCCTGTTTTACCACATGCTGATCTACTTTGCTTCCCAGACTGGTCAAGGAAGAGGATAAGGAGTCCCCAGCTTGCTGGACAGCCTCAAAGACCCGAGACATCCAGGAGGAAAGAGGCTGGAAGAAACTCAAGACATCCTGCGAAGCCATGTTTTTACACACACCACGAACAAGCAATCTGATGGTCAAAGACTCCGGCTTTTCATCTCTGCCAGCATGCCAGACTGAGGAGTCTGTAGCTACAGAATAAGCAGCACAAGAGATTACTATCAATCACCTGTCCACTTTAACACTGGCCTTTGACAAAATTTGCAAAGCTGGGAGAGAGCACAGCAAAGCAAAGGAGCATGCCACACATCAGAGGAAGAAAGCAGAGGACGCTTCCACCCAAGATTGCAACAGACACCGAAGTGAAAGCAAAGAACTACTTTCAAGAGAGCTTGTAATTTTGAAATGGGAAGGGACAATGCTTCACAGTAGTGGGTGCAAATTCCTGGCATCTCCAGCTGGGACTGGTGGGGTCTTCTCCCTCATCAGCCACTGCAGAAAATACAGAGTAAGACAGGCAAAAGCGAAAACCAAAACAACACAGAATGGAAACAAGATCATACCAGTAGTGTGAAATAAAACCATTCCAAAACCAAATGAAAACCAGCAGCAGAATAAGAGACTGAAAGCACTAAAGCCGCTCTTAACGTGTTTGGAAGAATGGAAAGGCCCTCATCGTGCTGGGAAGACTGTAACAGAGGTGCCAGACAAGCATTTCCAGAGGAAGCATTCCGCAAACACGGTGCCACCACTGAAAAGGGTCCATCTCTCATAGCCAGCCACCTTGCTTCACCTGGAAATGACACTTGGAGGCGGGCTCGGATAATGCTCTTTAGATCTGGGCAGGTAAAAATGGGAGGCAACGTTCTTCCAGGTAACCTGATCACAACACTGCCATTATGCATAGGCTGAGTGGAAAGACACTGGTTCACCATTCAGTCAAGGACCATGGCCAAATCTCCATAGCCAACAACATCCACCCTGTCCCAAGAATTAAGACATATTAAACTACAGTCCTCCAGGAGGTCATCTCATTAATTCTCCATTTCCTACAAAAGCTTTCTTTTGTCACACTGTCCCTTTCAAAATCGCACAAACAATTCTGCTTGCCCAACTAGTCAGAGCTTTGGAAATCAGATGCGTCCTTCAGAATCATGCTTAAGTACTTGCTTGGCTTAGTACTCGTAGGCCAGCCAAAAGGTGTGCACTGGTGCAGCAGGTTACCTTTGTTCGGCAAGCTGTGCCCTTCTCACGAGGAGGTGACCTTTTCCTATGGCTAGAAGGAAACAAGGATTCAACTAAAAAATGTGGAAATGACCCAATAATTTAAGGAGAAATGGTTTCGTGAAATGAACCCTACCCTAAGTATTGTTTTTCCAAATCATTTAGGTGGTTATTCGTTTACTTGACCCCTTAAGGGTTTACTTCTGAGTAGACATGTATTGCTACCCTCCCAATCTCCCCCCTTTTAAACCCATGGCTCTGCTTTTGAATAAAACGTACTCAGAGTTTATCAAGCCATTCTTACTGAAAAAAGAAAAGATATCCAAAGACAGGAGCAACAGCAAAATCCTAGTAATTTGGGTTTTAAAAATACAATTGCATGCATTTTTAATCAAGCTTGCTTCAATTACTGCCTCTTGTTTGAAGAGGTATTTAACATGACACCTCTTGAATAAAATGAATTGTTGCAGGGATAGCCAGCCAACTCAGTAAAAGTGTGTGTTTTTTGTAAATAGTCAACTGTTGTCCATACTGGACCCCAGTAGGGAGGCTGCCATTTTGAATTCCCAAAATGCAAGAGCACCTCACAAGAGGTATCGGGACAAAACAGAGGGGAACACCCCAAAGTTCTTCACCCTGAAAAATTCTGACTCACTTCTGAAATATATACAAAACAAAACACCCAGTTCTGAATTGACTGCAATATGGTCCTTATCAATCCCCCTGCCCCTGTGTATTAATTTGATGGTTAGAGCAAACGTGGGGGACCTTTTCCAGTCCAAAACCCAAATTCCAATTTAAGAAACTTCTTAGGAACATATTTCAATGGTGGGTGTGTCCAGAAATTGGATCATTATCTGTCTGTCTGTCTATTCATTTATTTATTTAGGGAACTTCTATGCCGCCCCAGTCGCCGAAGCCTCGGGGCGGCTTACAATCATAAATAAATAACATAAAACAATATAATTTAACAGTATAAATTAAGTCGCCCTGACCGAAGAATAAAATAAATAAATAATATTAACAATTAAAATAATGTTTGAATAAAAAGGTCTTTGCCTGGCTCCAAAAAACAAATAACAACGGCGCCAGGTGGACCTCTCTGGGGAGCGCATTCCATAGATCGGGCGCCACCGCAGAGAAAGCCCTCCTCCGAGTACCTACCCTCCTAATTTCCTTCATGGAGGGTTCCCGGAGAAGGGCCTCTCCCACTGACCTCTAGGGGCGGGCGGGCATATATGGACGTAAGCGCTCCTTCATTTTCAGGAAAGACTGCTCAGGAGTAGATACCACTGAATTCTGTTGCACTTACTCCCACCTTGGACACAGAAATGAAATCCCAAAGTGCCCCCCCAAAAAAAATATCTTAGGGAATCAACTTTACCACCATTCAAACCAGCAAAAAGATGCAGCCAAGCTTCATGCAGCTTAAAAATTCCCCTACATAAAATCCTGCCAAATTCAACAGTCTCTCCTTCATAGAAATCCCTCCCACCAAAACTAAATTGCAGCACAAATTTACAGAGGGGTAGAGAGAGAGCAAGCATCTAAGCATTCCAGCAACGGAGCAAAGGTCAAAGCAATTTCAAAGCACCAAACTCACAAAACAAAGATCTAACTGTGAAGCATTTAGCTGTGACCCGAAGGAGGCCCTTAACCATAAAAACTTAAACTGGGACTGAGAGAGACCTGATGGAGCAAGAGCGTAAACTCCAACAAGCAACTGTTTCTGGATTGGACCCAAGACCTCTGAAGAAGGCTGGGCAGCTCCAACGAGAATGAAAGATCCACCCAGAGCCTCAGAAGAGAGACCTGTTTGGGAAACGTGGAGCGCTTGCTTTCACGCCTTCTGGACCCAGGCACATATCTGAGAATGTGAGACACGGCTGGGGGCGCTAGCACAAGATGGCTCTCACAGTGGCTGTGGCCATTTATTCATAAGATTTATAGTCCAACTTTTGCTTTTCTTTAAAGAACTCCAAGCAGCTTGCATGATTCTCCTCCTGCTGCTCTCAATCTTATCCCCACCACAATGACGCTGTGAGGTAGGCTGGGCTGAGAGCTTGTGACTGGCCCAAGGTCACCTAGTGGCTAGTCCAAAGTGGGCTTCAGAGGTGTGAAAGCAGAGGAGGGAAAGTGCAAAGTGAGCACCCAGCAGGAGAAAGACAGACAGATGGACGGACAGACAGACAGCTTCCCTATTCCTAAAAAGGCTTTTCTGGAAGTGGGAATGGAGAGCAGAGCTTTCCAAACCCTGCTGAAGGCGCCCGCCTTGGATTGGTGTCTGGTCTTGATGCCAGCCTTGACCAAGCGCCACGTGCCAGAGCAGCAGCAGCAGTTGTTTCTACCTGTCCTGTAGGCAGGTAAAGCAGAGGTGAAGGGGGACACGTACCTTCCACCATACGGACTGCCCTCACCCTCCTGCAAGGGGGCGTTTCTCCCCTCGCCCGCATCCGAGACCAGAGGTAGGCTAGACTGGGACTGGGGGGTGGGTGGGAATGGAGCGCAGCCCCGCAAGTCAGGGAAGCATTTGTTCCCCGAAACTGCACACCTCTTCCGATGTAAACGGTCACCCACCTCCTGCTTTGTATGTGGCTGGAAGCATCTGAGGAGCACAGGAAACAGGGGTGCCCCAACCAACCTAGCTTCAATGTGGTGCCTCAGAAGTAGTAGCAAACGCCTTCATGATAAAGGAACCACAATCACACCCCCCCCCTCCGTATCACTTCAGACAACTTTGCCTTTGCCTTATTTCTCTCCCCTGCATTTGTCCGTCACCCCACCTGGACGCCGGCTTCACCGCCCAAACAGCTGCAGGCAGAAAAGTTCTAAGCATCCTTCACGTGTTGTTGACTGCTTTAGTGAAAGGAAAATAATGTCCTAGGCAGGTTTCGCAGCACAATTAATCCATAGCAACCTTCTATAGGTGCTTGTTTCTCCGTGCGTGTTCCTTGTATTATATATCCGCAGTAACGTACGTGTCACAACCCTTTCCATTCTAAGCACCACATTTTCAAGAATGTACCTGTCATGCATATAAAAATTACTTTCAACTGCAGCTTGCTGCAGCATTGAAACAACATCTCCCATCCCTGCCCCCTTTGTGTTACTCGGTTTTTAAAACCGACCCTGTTTATTAATAATTCCCTTTTTTTAAAAAGCTGCAAGTAAAATATATGTTTGCATGATCGTCTGTGGCAGTTGCAGAAAGCGTCGACACCCCACGCAGAGTGAAGGAGAGGTGTTGTCATTTCAAAAGGCCCTTGTGTTGTGCTACTTGACAGGAGGAAGAAAGATTTGAACCACTCACACAAAAGGAGTTATTTAACAGAAGAATATCTGTGTTTATGTAACACGGAGAGCATGGCAGAAAACAACCGAAGGAAGAATAGAGTGCAAATCTGCTCTCAGATCTCAGAAAGCAGGTATAATTCAGTGTAAATCCTTGGACTCATGACACGCAACTGGCATGCATGTCCAAGTTTGGCTCACACAAACCTTACTGCAAATGCACCTGATTTTATCAGGTTTGCTCATATTAGATGGAAAGTACATTATGTCTCAGGCACGGAACAAGAAAGGTACGAGATCTACCTAGTCTGCTGTTGTTTCCAGTGCAGCCATCCAGTGCTTCAGAAAATGTGACCCACTTCAGACAATCGTAACGCAGCGTTCAGCACACGCAAAGGGGAACCAAAATAGCCAAAACTCTGGCTTGCTTGTGATGCCTCCGCTGGCACTGCCATTGCCAACCTGGCACCCTCTGGATGCGTCCGTCACGTGTCCATGCGGCATTCATGCCCTGCCCTGCCTCACTTCCTTTTGCAAGGAGCCCAAAGCACAATGATCACCATTTTACCTGACAACAACCCTGTGAGGTAGGTGAGGTGAGGGGCTGTGACTCACTCAAAATCATGCAGTGAGCTCCACGGCTGAGGAGGGACTAGAACCTGGATCTGCCAAGTCCTAGTCCAGCACTCTCACTGCTGTGCCACACTGGGGATGATGGGTGTAGCAGTCCAAGACATCTGAAGGATGCCAGACTGGGAAAGCCTTTGTTAGAATGATGGACAAGGATCAGGGTGACTCAGTGAGTCCCCCTTTGGGCGGTCAACATTCCTCAGCTGAACCTACCTCGCAGGGTTGTTGTGAGCATCGCACATGAGGGCACGGGCACCTGAGGGAAGGGGGATGGAATAAAAATGCAAGGAAGGCATTCCTCTGCAGGATTTACTGGAGGGGCCTGCCCTTCACGCCTGGCTTTTAACCAACTCGCGTCATCCTTCAACCAACAAACCCTGGCACAAGAGCGTTTCCACCAGGCTCACACACCAGTAACTCTGGCTCTGTACAGACAGGCCCTCCGTGGAGAACGTGCCGGGTTCTGTATTCAGTTTCCTTCTTCTCGCGAGCAAACCGCATTCTCGTGCTCGCGCCCTGTCCATACCCTTCTTGGGGCTTTGGACAGACACGGGTGAACCAACTGAGCTCTTGTAGGGGCATCTGCCTTGCTGTGCCCCAGAAACTTCACGCAGGCCAGGACCTGCCCTTTCCTTTTATTTCCCACTTGCAGCATCAAACCGCCAACAGCTTCCTTGTGCTTTACTTGGGGCAGAGGTGGGAATCAGGAAGGACACAACTTCTAAAAGGATGCAGAAGTGTGCAGCGATTTCTGGGGTGAGCCAGCCCAAACTGGCTGCAAACCGGCAGAACTGGGCTGGATAATAAACACAAACAAGAAGAACATGCGGAGGGCACTTCTGCAGCACAGAGATGCCTCCTTGCATCTCTACATACAGGATGTGGCCTCTCAGGTCTGGGGGCCGGATTCAGCCCGCCAGAGCGTCACATCTGGCCAGCCCCACCACATCCCCCTCCGAGTTCCACACCTTCCCCTGGCTGCCAAATGCTTGCTGGCTTCCCGGCTTTCCTCCTTTCCTGTCCCCAAATCATCCAAATTATAGGAAGGTTAAATGTTTTTCCTAAGGCTTAACGATGCTGTATCAGGGTGCAGAACCTCAGTAGCCCACCGGCCAAATTCCCTTGCAGAGAAGTTCTGGGGGGACCACAATCCAGGGATGACGGTGGCTGCTGGCACAGAAAACAGCACCAAAAGCGGAAGGGCCAACGCCACCCGCAAACGAGAATGTGTTAGGTTAAGGTTCCTAACACCAGTAGATGAGCAGCGCCAGGTCAACCTTTGAGAACCAGGAAAAAGCGTGCAAAGCCCAGAAACCGCCAAAAAGGGTGGGGGCCAGGACAATGAGGCGAGACCTTTCAGGGCCCTTCCTGTACAGCCCGAGGCCAAAAGCCAGGAGAAGAGGATCCATCACCAGGCAGAAAGCACTGGTAAGAAAGGGCCAACGATTCCCCAGAGAGATCTCCTCAGCCTTCTGTTCACAACAGGAGGATGATGAGCTTCAAACTGTGTGATTACCTTAGGCCACTTTTCGCAAAGATAAGATCATTGTCCAAGCAACGAGAAGGAAGGGGAGCCAATCTGGTCAAGTGAACATTTCGGCTTGCAAGGAGCAACATATGCAGGGGATTCAGAGAAGTGAGAATCACGTGCTTACCAAGGCCCTGGTGAACCCCAGCTTTCTTTTTGTAGTGCCTGCGCTTCCTTCGTTCTTCCAAGCACGGGAGGCCCCCAATCTTTTCAAAGCAGAGTTTCTTGTTGATGAAGAGGAAAAGCACAGCAAGGAGCACAATGCAGACCCCAACGGCTGAGAGGAACCCGATCGCTTCAGGAGTAACTGGCGACAAAAGCACAGAGAAGGGAGAAACGCGTTAGCCTGCCATTGAGATGTTCACATGACTCCAGTCCTCCGTCAGCTTCACTGGCTTCCCATTGAAGTCTGGGCCCAATTCAAGGTGTTGGTGATGACCTATAAAGCCCTAAACGGCTTGGGTCCTGGTTACCTGAAGGAGCGCTTGCATCCATATATGCCCAGTCGCCCGCCCCTTGAGATCAGCGGGAGAGGCCCTTCTCCGGGAACCCTCCGTGAAGGAAATCAGGAGGGTGGGTACTCGGAGGAGGGCTTTCTCTGCAGTGGCGCCCAATCTATGGAATGCGCTCCCCAGAGAGATCCGCCTGGCGCCGTCGTTATTTATTTTTCGGCGCCAGGCGAAGACCTTTTTATTTAAGCGTCATTTTAATTGTTAATAGTATTTGCTTATTTTATCTGGCCAGGGCGACTTATTTTATATTGTTACTTATTCTATATTGTTATTTTTTGTATTTTAACTTTATGTTGTGAGCCGCCCCGAGGCTTCAGCGAATGGGGCGGCATAGAAATGTTTTAATAAATAAATAATAAATAAATAAATAAATAAAGGCAGAAATGCACGATAAAAGACAGTGTCCAGTCAACAGACCTCCTTACGTGCCAAAGCTGTTCTTAGGTAAAGTGGTCCTGAAGGACTGAGCAGAAGGAGCAAACCCGACTTCCCGTGGGAGAATTCGATAGCCCAGGGGCAGCACCAACAATTAAAACCCTCTCCAGCAATGGAGCAGCTCACACGCCAACGAAAGTTCCTTTGCTTGCCAGCAAAGGTAACAGAGATGAGGCAAACCAGGCCTCCCTTAGGAGGCGGCTGGACAGCTTGGGGCGGCCACAAAGAAGCCCGTCTCTTGGGCTGTCACCAAATACCCCTTCAAAGCTGGCAGTGCCCAAAGATAGGCCTCCAATCTTAGAAGGCAGACTTTCAGATAGTCTAGTCTGAAGCCATATACAGAGAGCTTTAAAAGTGCTGACCAGCCCTTTGAACGCGGCCTGGAAACAGAGTAGTTATTTAGAAATTATTTATTTGTTTCATTTGTATACTGCCCAATAATGGAGGCTCTCCAGGCAGTTAATAAAAGCTATCATAAAAAGTTAAAAAGTCACACACACTCAAATTAAATTAAAAGAACAAAACTGTAATTGCAATTGCAGCCGTACATCATTATATGGGATCTATAAAAACGAACTTTAAAAATTAGGTTGTTATAAATGATGGGAAAATAAAAAGCTCTTCACCTGGCATGAAAAATAATACAAAATAGGCACCACATGAACCTCTTTGGAGAGCCCATTCCCAGACTGGGGTGCCACCACCGAAAAGGCCCTCCTTCTGCTAGCCACTGCCCAAGGGACTCCTGGAGAAGGGCCCCTGAAGAGCACTTTAGGCTCTGGGTAGGTAGATGTGGGTGAAGCACGGGTGGGTATTTTGGGGTGTAGTTGCTCCCGGGGAGGAGAGCTCTGGCAAATCTAGACAGCATACCAAAAAGCAGAGACATCACCCTGCCGACAAAAGTGCATATAGTCAAGGCTATGGTTTTCCCAGTTGCAATGTATGGCTGCGAAAGCTGGACCATAAGGAAGGCTGAGCGCCAAAGGATTGAGGCCTTTGAATTGTGGTGCTGGAGGAGACTCCTGTGAGTCCCTTGGACTGCAAGGTGATCAAACCGGTCAGTCCTAGAGGAGATCAACCCTGACTGCTCTTTGGAAGGCCAGATCCTGAAGATGAAGCTCAAATACTTTGGCCACCTAATGAGAAGGAAGGACTCCCTGGAGAAGAGCCTGATGCTGGGAACAATTGACGTCAAAAGAAGAAGGGAACGGCAGAGGATGAGGTGGCTGGATGGAGTCACTGAAGCAGTCGGTGTGAGCTTAGGTGGACTCCAGGGAATGGTGGAGGACAGGGGGGTCTGGAGGAGTGTTGCCCATGGGGTCGCGATGGGTCGGACACGACTTCGCAACTAACAACAACAAAGCTGCTGAAACCGTTGTAAGATGGGAGCTAGGCACACCCTGTGACCAACCCGGTTGAGAGCCTGGGCAGACATTCCAGACCTGCTGTTTCTGAATAGCTTTCAAAGGCAGCGTGAGGAAAGTGTTCTGGGCATGAGACTCCATCGGATTCTCTGGGGCCTGCTCCCCAGCCTTTCTCCCCATATGGGCTGCTTTATGCCACTGCGGCTCTAACCTCCTGGAGAGTGTGCTGAGCATTCACACGCGCACCCACCAAGAAGCGAGACCATGTGAACGCTGCCGAGGCGGCATCCCACTTCCGTGCCCATGACTTTCGGCCTTTGTGGTGCCCACGCTGCCAGTTGTGCGACTGGAGTTCCGCAGCATTCACTCAGTTTGGCGCACCACCTTAAGCTGGAGCCGGGGACAAGAGGTCTGACAAGCGGAAGAGGGCCGGATTCTAGGGAGGACAGTCACAACCCTAAGAAACCCCAAGCAACAACACACTGCAGTCGTTCCAATAGGAGTGTGGCCAGACCAGAAGTCTCCAGCTGGAACACAAGTGTCCACATGCAAATGTAGCTGCTACCACCAAGTTGGGGCCATGGGAGTTGAAGTCAGAAACACGCAGAAGGGACCGGGTGGGGCAGGCTGCTCTGTTCTCACGGGCAGCAGTTTTCCCAGGTCTCAAGGAGGGAAAGGTTTTTCTCATCACCTGGCAGAAATTGAACTAGGGACCTCCTGCCTGCAAATCATGTGCTGTACCCCTGAGCCACAGTCCCTGCTAAAAGTCTGGAAAAGGGAGCGAGGGAGGACTGTTGAACACTGAACCCAAGTTGTCACAACCAGTTCTGGGAATGGCAACTTTTATTTAAAAATGAAATAAACTCCCAAGTTGCTAGGTCTTATGACAATGAAGTTATGCTTAAAGTCAGGCTTGGTTAAAACAAATCAACAGAAGCCAAAGGTCAAGGGCTGGGAATGCTTACATAGAAACATAGAAACTGAGTGAGTCAGAAGGGGTCTCCCAGGCCATCTAGTCTGACCCCCGGCTCCAGCCGGCTCCACTCATGACATGCCCACCTATCATGTCTAGCTCATCTTTGAACACGCTCACCGACGGGGCCTCTTTGTTCCTTGCCCATGACAGGCAGGAGTGACACAGATTACACAAAGCAAGAAATGTCGTCACTGCGCTTAATTAGTAGAATCATTACTTATGCAGAGTATTTTCTGGCCACGGATTACAGAACCTGCCCAGGTTGTCAAAATCAGTATTTCCCAGTGATGAGAGGCTCGCTGCAGGCAACCAAGTCCCACAACGGCTTAAGTATACTCAGCAATCATTAAGGATGCTGGGAAGAATCATAATAAATCATATTCCATAAATATTGCACCCAATTCAGTTTTCCTAAAGGACCGCACTCTGAAATCACACCTGAATCACTCAAGAAAAAGAGAAGAGTGATGCAGTGCAGGGTAGAACCTTAAATAGTTAATTCTGGGAGGCAGCACTGTTCTCATCAATGACTTCATTAATTCCGATTTATTCTCAACTTTGGGGTGGGAGGTGGGGCAGAGATAATAAGGAAGCAGTCACTAGTACTTTTCCAATTACAACCCCACCACAGCCCAATCAATAGCTTATAAACTGTCTGTTTTATACCATTTGTGCTAATTGAGTTTCATTATATATTTGGAACAACGCATTATTTCGCTACCGGTTCCTATGGCACCCTTTGTAACCAATGGCTAATTATACAGTGTGCACACGCAAACATACACCGAGAGGAAGGACTGCACACCAAGAGAGCTGTTGCGTGGGCGGAAGCTCAGAGGAAAAGCTGTGTGTGGCAGACTTGTGTGATATTACTGTTGGCTCTACATGGTGCATTAAAAGATTCCCTCCCACATGCTGTTCTGCATGGTGCATTAGAAGATACCCTTCCACACAGGTGTCCCAGAGCAGTTAATGAACACTGTCTCTGCGGGCAGCATAACGGAGCTGGAGCATACCAGACAGGTAGCATGCAGAGGACAACCGCTGCCACTTTTCGTACGAAACAGAAATGTAAAGCTGCCAGCCACTAATCTTACCTGATCAACTGTATGCGTTTTTTGTCTATTACATTGGCCCTGTTTGCATTCTTTTCCATGTGAGTAAAAGCAGCCATTCTAAAGCAAGAAGTACAGATGATTCATATATCTGTTGCAGTTGTCACCATCATAGAAGTATTTCTTGGTGTGTGTGAGAGAGAGAGGGAGGGAGGAAAAGGCACTCACTAGCAGTAGGATTCTCCAGGGTTTCAGAAAAAAACTTTTTCCAGCCCTAACTGAAGATGGCTGGGATTGAACTACGAACATAACTGCGAAAGCTGTACACCCGGGAGCCTGAAACCTTTGCCAGTCCACCAAGAGATCCATTCCCAGCGTGGATCACTGAATCCATAAAGCCCCACAACTGCATTCAGCCACCCCCTTCTTTCTGCATTTCCCAAGGCCCCTCCCTCCAACACAGGGCTTTTCACCAGGTGCCAATGACACCTTTCCAAGCTATCTCTGCAAGGTTATGGGCAGAAGACGCGGGTGCAGAAAACCTCAAACAGAGGTTTATGAAAGCAAGCTGAGTGGGACACCGCTGTTTTAGACAAAATGTGGGTCACGCCAGCGGTGCTGGATCCACTTCTCGACAAAGCAGCTCGCGGTTCCAGCAAATAGCTGATACGCTCAGTGCAAGCCTCTGTTATCAGCCTCAAACAGGTGGTGCTTTTATTCATGTGTGAGCCGCACACTATGTGCAAACACTCCAGAAATAAAACGTGTGTGTTTTCACAGGGCAGCAGCTCTCGGCTGATAATCTATTTCAAACAAGCCAGAGACTGAATTATTGCCATCGCTTGGTGTGCTGCAGGAATAGAATGATTGTGTAACTCTTTCATCTTCCAAAAGGTGACCCTTAGAATCAATCACCAAAAACGGGACAGAGGAGAATGAGTTGACAGCCTTGGATGGGAGCCGGCTGTCATTCTTACTCAAGGAAGCAAGCTCTGCTAAACGGAGCACGGAGCGTGTAATTGTATGCCACCTGTGGTCTAGAAATCTACTTCCTTCCCAGCCCTTTGCAAACACAGGAACAAGTCGATCTCAAACATTTTGCATTCTGAACTGGAAAAATGCCATAGGCCAAGCCCCTTCCCATATACTTAAGAATACAGCATCGAATGAACACCACTAATCATGTCCTTCCTTACTTGCCTTACTCCTCAGTGAAACTAACCAAGGGATGTTATCCTTCTTGGATAGAGGTGCTGCACCTTCTCTGCACTTTTTCCAGCTCTACAAAGCCCATTCTCGGGAGCAGCATCCAGAACTGCACACCACATGGCCACACATGTGCTTCACCACAGATGGGCATAAGGGCAGCACGAGGCCGGCGGTTTTATTTCCAATTCAATTCTTAATTAAGCCTAACATGGAATTTGCCTTCTAGCTGTCCACTACAGCGTCGAGATCCCTTTCTTGGGCAGCCACCTCTAGCTCAGATCCCATCAGCTTCTGCCTGAAGTTGGGAAGTTCTGCCCCTTTGTGAATGCTCTTACCCTTGCTTGTGCTGAACTGCATTTGCCAGGGTCTTTTGCCAAGCATGTGAAAAGAGGTCTGTGCCTTTGGACCACATGACTGCAAGTCTTTACAGGTGTGTCACAAGCTGGTCTTTCTCCCCGGCAACTCTTCTCCTTTCCCATTCCCAGCTGATCAGGAGGAAAGGCCTCTGTAACTACAGTATTTTGTCATGTTCCAGCAGGCCGGCCAGCCCTGACTTCGTGATACAACGCAGGTGATGCAAAGATTGCTAGGAATAAACACTCATCACATCAATACCCCATTAATTGTGGCTTGAGTTCTGCTAATACTAGAAGTTGATTCCAAGCTCTCTTCTCCACCAAACAGGATTAGCTCCACCCTCAGGGAGGTCCACATTGTTTATGGGCCAGATGGCAGGAACCCAGGACGTTACTTAACTGGCTACCTCTCTTGACCTGGTGATGGACAACTGCAGTCATCAGGCTACGTCCTCCCCCTCTGGCCCTCCCTGCTCTACAGAGATTCACCCCAAACCAAAGGTGGTCAGATTCTTGCCAGCCACTCAGCTTATCTTAAAGCTCAGTGGCCTTGGCATTCCAGCCAAGCATTCCAACCCTCCCTCTTCCAGTTCCCATTCAGAGTCTGAGGTATCCAGTTTGGAATGAGGTATTTTGGGAGAAGAGGGTCCAAGTCCCGGCAATGGGCTCTTTCCTGCTCATCCCTTTTTCCCTTTTGTGTCAAGTCTTTTAGATTGTAAACTGGAGTGCAGAGGTATCTGAAGAGATTTTAGGTGAGCTACTTTTTAGCTGGCAAGGCCACTACACCAAAAAAGGGATATTGTAGGTTTGGCAAAAAGAGAGAAAGGGGTGAGTAAAATGACCAAGAAGCTGGATCCGCCTCCCTGTCTGCCCTCAGGCTCTTCATCAAAACAAGACCAGACTCAATTTATCCACCCACCCCAAACACTGGCACATATTCAGCAAACATCCCCAACCAGCATACTAGAACTGAGCCTGACAGATGACCGAATCCTTGAAGAACCGAGTTTAG